AGGGGCCGCGGGGGACGAGCTCCGGCTGGTGGCGGCGTGGGTTAGAGGCCACCCTGGCAAAAGGCCCGCACCGTGTGCCGTGGAAGCACCAGTAAAATAGTTGTTTTGAGAATTAAATGAGTTAATACATATTCAGTGGCTGCCACTGGCGAGGGCCCAGTAAATGTTGATTCTCTCCTCGTCCTAGTGGAGACCCTGGGGGAAGACTGGGTATGGACTCAGTGGGGCCTCCTAGGGCAGATACTTTTGGGGAGGGGGCGCAGACCCTCCTCCCTTCCCCCAGGGTGCCCCCAGTTCCAGCTTGGCCAGGAACTCAGCATTACCAGAACTGATGAATTTTCCAGAGAAAGCAAAAATGCAGATTTTCATGAGACTGTTCCTGATTTTTAAAAATGTTGGTCATGAATTTATTATAACAATACATATAAAATACTTGAGGCCAATTCTTGGATGAGCCTTGGCCAGCAGGGCAGGTGGCCCTGGGCCCAGTACCAACCAACTTCACTGACCCTTCCCAGAGAAGGAGGAGGCCTGACAGGGCTGGGACTGGCCCTGGTCACCCAGCAGGAAGCACGGTATCCTCTTAGGTGGTTCATCAGGATTCTGTATTAGGTATTGATGGCTACCAAGGTCTAACTCAGAAACTGTAGCAAGCAGAATCCCGCCCCACTCCTACTCACTCCCCCAACACCCCACCCCACCAAAAGATTACAGGTCCTACTCCCTGGGACTATAATCTGTTACTTTACTCATTCAAAAGAGATTTTGAGCATGTAATTCAGGTCACTCATCAGTTGATCTTAAAATACAGAGATTATCCTGGATTATCTAGGTTGGCCCAGTGGAATCACATGAGCCCTTAAAAGCATTGGAGAAAAGCAGAAGGGGAGGTGAGAGATTGGAAGCCCAGGAAGGGCTCCATGTGCCTGGCCAGAATGCTGCTGCCTTGAAGACAGAGGGGAACTGCAAGAAACTGAATTCGGCCAACAATCTGAATGAACCTAGAAGCAAATTCTGCCCCCCCTCTCCGCGCAGCCTCCAGAAAGGAACACAGCCCTGCCCACACCTTTACTTCAGCCACCTGAGACTCAGGGCATAGAGTCCAGCCATGCCTTGCTGGACTTCAGCCTACAGACTAAGAGATAATAAAAGGATGTTGCTTTAAACTCCTAAATTTGTGGCAATTTGTTACACAGCAATAGAAAATGAATACAGGATACCAGCCTGCCTTTCTTTTCTTTTCTTTT